AGTCATTGCCATTTGAAGGCAGATCGAACTGAAATAAAACTTGTGTGTTTCATATATCATGAGTTATTTCTAAGTTTCTCTCTCTGAAAGCTTTGTTTATAATGACTATCCTTTAGTCCCTGACTAAAAAGAAGTATGCTCTGCACTTGCCATTTTAATGGATCTTGTGCATCAGAAAATTTTTAGGTGAAAGATCCTGTTACAAGTATAAGAAAAATGTATATGAGTTTGCTCAAAGATAAAATATAAATAATTTTAAATATAAGATAATTGAATTAAAAAAATTACACTTTTTTTTTATTTGCAAAAATAACAATTTCAATATGCTATTGTAGAGTCTTTTAACCTAATTAATGAATAACAATGATAATAATAAAACTACCTATAAATAACACAGGATATTACATCCAAATTAAAATATTAAGTTTGTTGTATGATTAATTTTTTATTATTTATATATTATTCAACTTTTCAAAATTTATTTAATGAGATTTTTTTATTCACACTTATTACATCAATAAATGATATTTATGTCGAGTAAGTAATTAGAAATTTTGTTTTTTATAAAAGTGAATAATAATAATGTAAAATATAATATAATTTTATAATTTTCACCGTTTCATCGATGAGAGGAAATAGGTGACAGAAAAAACAAAAATACAAATAGTACTTAAAAATTACAATAAAATATATTGTTTAAATAATATACTTACTCGATTTTCAAAAAATTAATCTGAATCTATTTAAAATTTAATTATATGATTAGATTATAAATTAATTTATTTTAATTTTTCTAAAAAGTGATTTAAATTTAATTTTAAAATTTGGATTTTGTTTAAAACTAATTTTAAATTATTTTTACATATGGTAAAAATATATTATAAATATTTTTATATTATTGCTAAATTATTATATTAAAAAATATTTAAATTTTATAATAAATAATATAACATTATATTTGCATATATATATATATATATATATTTGTCAAGCATCAACCCTTATTAAAGATAAAATATGAATACAAAAAATATTGTAACCTATTACATCTCTAAAATAAATTAACAATACATATAAAAAGAATATTTTTGTATATTTTAATTTATTAATAATATTTTTTTATTTTTATACTTTATTAAATTAATAAATATTTCAATATATTATATTTTTTATCATTTATTCATCACACAAATTAATTATATGAATTAAATTTTAAACTATTTTATTTTATTTTTTTAATCAGTTTAAAAATAATTTTAAACTTTAAATCTAGCTTTAAATCAGTTTAAAATTTAATTTTTGTTGAAACTAGTTTTAAATTTAATTTTTAACACAAAACTGATTTTTAATATATTTGTGATTTTTATTTTTAAAGTAAAACTAATTTATTATACAAAATATTATACTAAATTAGTATATTCCAAAGAGATTTTAATAATATTTTTTAATATATTATATTTTATAGAAATGCATAAAATATTTATTGTTATTTTTAACTTATTTTAATAAATAAAATTTATAATAAAAGTTTAAATTAAAACCTAGAAAAAATTAATAATATAAATAATAATAAAATTATTATGTTATAATATTCTAAAAAGTAAAAAATAAACATAAGTATAAAAACAATAGTAGTGATTAATTTAAAAATATTTGTTATATTTTAATATCTTTAATTATTTTAAATATTTAAATTTAATTATAAAAATTAAAATTATTAAAAAAATATTAGTGGTAAAATATAATTACAATAAAATTTTATAAATTAATATAACACAAATATTTAATAACTAAAAATATAAAGTAGTAGATCTATACATATAAATTTAGATAAATAAAAAAAATAATTTTAAAAAGTATATATAAACGTTAAACTAATTATACAAATGTAATTAATAAAAAATTTAGTTTAACATAAATTTAAATTTTTAAAATCAATTTAATATTAATTATAGATTATACTTATAAAACTATATTTTTTAACACTTCTATTTACTCATTTAGTTACTTATCCATTGTTATATTAGGATCAACATGACTCTAAAGTATACAAGCAAATCTATTTTAAAATTTAAAAATAAAAATTTTGACTATCCTTTTTTTTAGCTCATTTACCTTGCTTCGAGCCTTAACTTAAAAAAAAAAAAAATCTTTTTTTAAGCATTGAAAGATTCAAAGAGTATTACATTTTATTTAAAAATCAACCCAACCCACGAAGTTAAATTGATTAAGATTTATCATAAATAAATAAATAATTATACATATAATTCAAAAAACTAATCTAACCCTATTTAAATTTTATAACTTTTCAATATTAGACTTTATTAGTATTTAAAAAATAATAATAAAATATTATTTAATTTTCACATTAAAATTAGAGTTGTATGGACTACTTTATACAACCTATTACACAAATTCATTTTTTTATATAATAATTAATAATTATTATATTGTTTAATATATCAAATTAAGTTATTATATTTAAAAAAAATTATTAAATTAAGGAGTTAAGTTTCAAAGTTATAAGTATTCATTAATTTTTTTAAAATGTACAAGTTAGTTTTTTTATCCATTAAATTTTCAATATGAAATATTATATGTATGTAATTTTCAATTTTCACATTAAAATTAGAGTTGTATGGACTACTTTGTATAACCTATTACACAAATTCATTTTAAATATTATACATAATGAGTTTACTTAATCTTTAAGCCCACATATATAAATATATATTTATTTATTTTTATATAATAAATAATTATTATATTGTTTAATATATCAAATTAAGTTATTATATTTTATAAATAAAATTTATTAAAATAAGGAGTTAAAATTTAAAGTTGTAAGTATTCATTAATTTTTAAAAAATCTATAAGTTATTTTTTTTATTCATTAATTTTTCAATATTAAATATTATATATATGTAATTTTCATAATAATAGCGTCGCATTTAAATAAACTATGTTCAGACCATAAATTTAAGAATGAGTTGAATGTAGGCTTTATAAGACCTAACTTAGAGAGACTTATTTATTTATATTTAAGTGAACTATGTTGTTAACCTGTTGTCATGTCCAATTGTTTCAATTTTAACGATAAATCATTGCTTTTGTGAGTAACTATGAAATATGAATATTGCAAGTCATTATTTGATAGACGTGTCTTTAAGTATTATTGTTTTGTTTTAGGTTATAAGAGTATTAGAGTATATTTGATTTCTGTTTTTAAAATAGTTTTTTTTTATTTTTAAAAACTAAATTTAATATAAATTTATATTATAATTAATTTTTAAAAATAGAGATAATTTCGTATCTTTAAGTATCCTCTCGTATCTTTTCATAACTCCGCTGATCAACACCCTTTAAACTTAAGATTTTTGTATAATATGTAAAAATCTTAACAACATAATCTCAAAATTCTAAATTATAGACATCCTTTCTCGTTGAGAAAAGATAATTTTTAAAGTATTCAATTTGTTGGACTCGTTATTGCAGATGGGAAAATGTTGTAGAGCATTTTCCTTGAAAGAAAGCTGGGTCCCGGTCCATTGAGTTGAAGCGCCCGTTCAGGCTCAACTCCTCGCTTTACGTTAGCAGACCTACACTACAAGATGGGGCGGGGCTCGAACTTCCCCTTTCCCGATCAATAGGCTGTTAGGGTGAAATCGAGACAATCAATCGGAAGAGGGTTTAGTTAGGAGTCCGGATTCCATCCTATAAGTTGAAGGAAGGGAGCAAAGCTCACATGCTCCTTCTCATGACCTACTCGGCTGCCTTCGTGAACCCAAGCCACCAGGCGAGGAAAGGTTTCATATGGATTCACTTCTTGCCACTCTTTTCATAATCTAATGGTTGAACTCGTAGAAAAACTCGTGATTGGTGTGAAGGGGAAGATCTTTTTATTATATAGTTCAAGAAAGAGTCGTCTTAGCCTGAAAGCACAACCAGACTCTTGTTCTTTCTTTTCAGCGGCCAAAGCATTAAGCAGTTGTTTTCAGTTCGTTTTGAGTTGAGTTCCTTTCTATAAAGACGCCCACGCAGCAAGGATATGAGGCAGGCTACCTCACTTAGAAATTTCCTTTCGCCTGACGCCAAGGAAGCAGGACGAGGCATACAAACTACACGGGGAGGACGACCCCCGAAGCTCTTGGGCGAAGTCCACTAAGGTTATGTTGTGTATAACTACAATGTTCTCATAAAATGGGGCTCGGTTGCGCAATTTCACAAAGTTGAGATTGTCAGATTAAGTAATAATTTTAATTGATGAAAGTTCAAAGACAACAACAATTTTCAATTAAAAAAAATTAAGTAGGCATAATTAACGGTGTTAAAATTACCTTACTGCTGTAAATGATATATTTATTAGAAAGGATTAACGTGAAAAAAAAACTAAGACCTAAAATGAATAAAAAGTTAAAAGACAAAAAACAAAATCTAAAATTAAAGAACAAGAAGACTAGTTTTAGAATTCAAATGATTGTTTTTCTTTGCTAATCACTAAAAGAACTATTATAGTTAATTTAAAAATCAATTATATTTTTAGTTCTCATATTTAATTTATATTATTTTTATATGATTTTAGTCTCTTAAAATGTAATTTTTTATATATAATTATATTCACTTTTTAATTATTTAAATTACATATTTTATTTTAAAAAGTTATCTAATAAATAATAAAGATATAATAAATATATAATAATTCATTGAATTAAACATTTTTGTAAATAAACTAAAGAATTATATACTTTTTTCTATTTTTATTTAATTCTATTTAAATATTTAACATACATATATAAATTAATAATTCGTTACACCTTCATTTTATATTTATTAAATTAAAAAATAAATAAATTAAATATATAAGGACCAAAATTACAGTGCTAGGGTTAAAAATATAAATATAAACTCTGAGAAAACTAATTTTCCAAAATTTGAAAAAGCCGTGGTTGTTAAAAAAAAAATGATAAATAAAAGTACAGTAGATCGTGGATGATTCTGTTGTGTTTGGTTGTTGACGAATTAGGAGTCGGAGTTGCCAGCCTGGCCTAAGTGACTCGTTATTCGTTAAGATCTTCCTTCCAATCCTATTCAACAATCTTCATTTCCATTCACCACATTCTTCCTCTTCCTCTCCACTCTCTGCTCTCCACTTTCGTCTTTTCTTTCCCCTCTTACGTGTAATATGGCCGTCACCGTCAAATTAATGGCTTCCATCGTTTCGTTTTTTGGTCTCATGTCTTTCATTTTGGGAGTCATAGCCGAGAACAAGAAGGTAATTATTTTTATCTGATAATATTTTTACGGAACCCTTATTATTTCTTGAACTGTTGGTTTGTTAGGCTCATGAAAAAATGGATTGGACGTTAGGCCATTACAATTTGTCTATTATACTATCAATCAAATATGAAATATTTAAATATTTTGAGGTAATATGAACTTTTTGTGTTTGATTTTTTCTATGCCATCGTCTTTCATTGACCTTCTCAATTTACAATTGTTTAAACAAACTGAATCAAGTATATATTTAAATATTTTGAGGCAATATGAACTTTTTTCTCGCACTGGTGAAGGGATAATATAATAAAGTCTGGTTTTTTTTCTATGCCATCGTCTTTGACTCTCTCAATTTACAATTACTTAAACAAACTGAATTGGACTGTTGTTTAGATGTGTTTTATATCAGATGGTAATATGTTATTGAAGATTTTATGACTGAAAATCAGATCTTTCTCTTGCAAGGATGGATTATTAATTACAATTATTGTGTTACGTATATGATTTCATTTCAATTCTTTCAACATGGATTGAAACACTTATTATAAACAACAAAGTAAAGGGAACAATTAAAAAATGTAGCTAAAATTGTTAAAAAGACATTTTTGATTCAATTTTTTCATATAAAATAATTACAGCCTGCTGCTGGAACGCCGGTGCCTGGTAAGGATAGTGTGACCTGCGACTTCCCAGCTGATCGAACGGTTGCATTGGGTTATCTTTCAGCAGCTTTTCTTATTGCTTCCACGGTGGTTGGATATCTCTCTCTGTTTTACCCTTACAGAGGAAAATCTGTTCACTATGGAGTGCTTTTTAAAAGCACCTCTTTCGCGGTATTCTTCAATATTGCAGTGTAAGTAATTTCCCCTTATCTTTTATTATGATTATTTTTTCAAGTGAATTTTTCAAGTCATAGAAACAAAATAAACGTCCTAGATTATTTTAGCAGCGAATTCTGGAATGTACTTGTGAGAGCAAAATGCTGGCTCTTATGTAGGAATCTTTAATGAAATCCATTTTTTAGTTTGCAGAAATGTAACGTGATGCTTCTACGGTGCCTAACATAGTGATCTATTGTCATTCTTGTTAATTTGGTTTTCATTATTAAAAATGAGTTTGTTTTGGTCAATGCAAATATAAAACGCCCGTTGGTTTTTGCTGAAGGTGCAAGTAGAATGCAGCTACTTTGTTGACATAGATGGTAATATGCATTAAGCACCTGTTAGCCATGATATAAAAGATATTGGATTCTATTGAACTTGGATCATAATGATACAATTGTATACATACTTGCCCTGCACCTAAAACTGGTTTCCTTGAACAATTAAAATTCATTATTTTTGTGTCTCACTTTTTATATGCATCTTTAAAATATAATCCAAATACAGAGAGACGCCTAAAATTGTCCCCTTCTAGTGGCACTCAACATTTTCAGCCAGTTTAAATTTCGATGACTGTGGTTCATATTTCTGCCAGCTTCATTTCTTTATCTCAGAGTTCTGGCTCTTCTTGTGTTGGCTGAATGATTATGTATCTGTTTAGGTTTTCAACTGGGCTAGCTGCAACTATGCTGCTATGGCCAACAATCACTGAACTGCTTCACCTTACCCGCAATGTGCATCTTGATCTCAAGTATACCTGCCCTACAGCTAAAACTGGTCTTCTTGGAGGTGGTGCCTTTTTATCCCTCGAATCATCCCTTTTTTGGTTGGTTGCTCTAATGTTAGCTGAAAACGCTCGAGAAGATTTTTTGGATGAAAATAAGGATGATAAGGGTGATGTTGAAGTTTCTTTTCATGCAGATATAGCCATACAGGAGTGAATGGAAATGCATGAGGTGTCCAAGAATAAAAGTAGATACATCGTAGAGTTACTTTTACATCTTTTTTAATGTGCTGATGGAGTATGGGTGTAAAAATTGGTTGCGTTGACGTGTGACTGTTTATTACGTGGCCCTTGATAGTTAGCTCTGTCTCTGTCTCTCTCTCTTTTTTTAACAAATAATAATAATAATAGTTTATTCAAGGCGTACGATGTAAAAGGGGTCTTCCTTTTCTTTGAATTCTGAAAAATACTAACACCGTAATTTTCATCGTTAATTAAATTTTAGTTAATAATAAATTTTTGTAGTTTTTTTTTATAATTTTTAGTTGATAATAAAATTGTATTAATAACATTTCTTATAAATTTATACATAAAATAAAGAGAAGTTATTACTTTTACATTTTTTAAAGGCTAATTATGAGGCAGTCTTTTTTACTTAATTTTTTTAAAAAAATTTATTGTTGTCTTGAAGTTAACTTGTATGACAAAAATACAATACATCTTTTTTTTAAAAAAACAAGAATTTGTGTTATAAATATCCAAACATATTCAGTGTCATCGAGTTTGAATGAAATTAATAAATAAACTTTTATCATAATCTCTTAAATTAAAAATATTTACCCTTTTAGTTTATGATAAGTGTAACATACGGAGGGCAAATGATGAACAAATGACTAACAGTAATAATTAAAGTGAAAAATTTATAAAGTCAATAACATAAAGTGATTAAATGAAGATTTATCCGTTACTAATTGATTGATAGGACGAAAAGGTGCAATAGATTATATACAAAACATTATATTTAAAAATTTGAAATTATTAGCTTTTTTTTTAATATAAATTATTATTTCCATTTAAAAATCTAAATCTGAGAACAGAAAATATATGATTATTTTGAGAAGTCACGTTAACTAACAATTTAAATCGTATAGTTATAACAACTCGTTGAAATAAGTGGACTTTCACAACTATAATTGAGTATAAATAGGTTTATTTTACATCAAATTTGTAAAAAAGCAAAAGAAGTCTAATTCTAGCGTTGATTATTCATATTGTTGGGGTGAATAACCTCCCATTAGCAACTTGTTTGGTTTTGTCCTTTGGGAGACTTCAACAAAAAACTGTAGAGCGGTTTTTTCGAGAGAAAATATCCATATGAATGTTATTTATGTGGTTATAATGGGAAACAAAATCAAGCAAATACGTGCTAGAGAAATTAACGTTTGATGAGAATTATTTCTTCCTTACTTTTAAATTATAATTACAATTAAACGTTTAATGAAACAAATTAAATTTAAAGAACTTTAAAAATGTTGGTTATTAAATAAAAAAATGGAAGTGTTTTTGCTAGTCTAGTGTGTAACTCCAACTTCATGATTTTTTTAATACTGTTATGTGATTTTATCTCTCCTTTATAAATCCACTAGAAAATAACATTGTTTCTTTTCGGGTTGAGTGAAAAGAATATTGTTTGAGTTTTCTTTCAATTTAATACATTCAACTTAGACAGAATGAGATAGACAAAAAAAAAAACATTTAAAATATAAAAGTAGTGTGATAAAAAAAAAATCCAGTGTAAAAAAAATGCTAGAGAAGAGGTGAGGAAATATTAAAATTGAAGTTTATCATACTGCACTTTTCTTGCATGGAAAGAAAAATACAATAAAATAAAATGAAATATAAATTTAGGTACAATGATTAACTTTTTATTTAAAATAACAAATTATTAAAACTAAAATATAAAAAATTAACTAAAAAATAAGTTAATAAATTTTAATCATATACTCCAATTTTTGTCCTCTTTAGCAAAATAAATAAATAATAAAATCGTATACTCTAGTTTATTTGTTCATCTTAAAAAAATAACTGAAAACCAAAATCATCCAAATAAAAATCAACAACATTTGAATAAAAAATAAATAATTTTTTGATTTTTTTCCAAACAATCATCCAAAATAATCACATAAAAAAACACACTCTAGTTTAAACAGAAAACAAAATTCACGACTCAGGACACAATTTTCAGATTTCTTTTTACTTTTGGGCTTAGCTTCAGTGTTCTTACACCTCAACGTACAGTTGAAAAAAAGCCCACAAAATTTATCCCAAAACCCTAGCAAGAACCCTAAGTTGTGGTGCGGTAGCTGTACCACAGTCTTCTACAAAACCCTACCAAACCCTTCCAAACCCTTCCACTACTACTCTGAACTCACGATGCTTGAAATCGCTTAAGCTTGTTATAGTTAGCTCCCTTAACTTGATCACAGTAGTAGGTGTTAGCAAGAGTTGCACAAAAGCTTAGCGAAAATGCCTCTGGGAGAAAGAGCGTGGGATAAGAGCGAATCTCGCTACTGTGGCATAGAGACGGAGTTCAACGATGACATGCCACGTGTCCTCAGTTTCAATCTCAGTTCCGGCGGCTTTGATTTCGTTATTGCTCCTCTGGTTCGTGTCCTTCACTTAGTTTTATGCATTTCAACATTTTGCAATCGCATATAAATCATGAGAACAAATGTTATGCATTTAGTGTACATGTTTCGTATTTTATACCATTTTATGCGTGAAGTTAAGTTTACATTACAATGAATGTAGGTAGTTTATTATGGTGGCTAATTAGCCACTCACACGGCAACTTCAGTGTTGCTCCTTTTGTGTGTGAATGGTCAGTAAGCTCACCTAGAATGAAACTGATCGATGGACCCTTTACAGTGAAACTGCTCGATTTCAAGCTTTTGGGGTTTCAGTGTATGGCTCTATAGAACTACATTTCGCAACGCACGTAACATGCTGCGGTTTTTCTATGTCTGCCTCTTGTAGTTGTTTGCCACATCTTACGTCATGAGAGTTAAAATCTTCCTTGGTGTCTGTTGAATTTTCAATCTTTTTTTTTTATTTATATTCACTGAGATTTGGTTGATGATATGTTTGTATGGAGTGTTTTGGACTGAAAGGGAATGGAGGATGGAATTTTTCATTTGTAATAAATATTCTCTAATTTGATAATTTTTAGAATGAAAGAAATGGAATGACCATTTTCCTCCAAAACCCTTCATAAGAAATACTCTAAAGACAAACATATTATTATTATTATTATTTTTCATAGACTAGTAGGGTTTGTGTTTGTTATTATGTTTGGTGTGTTTTCCTTGTTCCCATGGTAGCTAATTAGCCAGTCATATAGCAGCTTGCTGCTGCCATTTTATATGTGTCTGGTCAGTAAGCTTACCCAAAGCAACGAAGTCTAATGCTTTCCTTGTGAAACTGTTCCAATGTGGCTCACTGTAAGAGCTTTTTAGACTACATTATTGAAATATTACATGGACTCTTGGTGGAGTTCTCTGGTATGGCTCCTAAAGGGGCTTAATTAAGATTTTTGATGTTCTTAATGAACACTTAATTTTCTCATGATTTCTTCAGCATATGTAGTCTATTTTTCTAATGGTGATTTTTTTTTTTTAATAAATTTTGTTTTCTATGAATAACATGTAAACTATTGGAAGATAATTTTGCTAAGAAATGATCTTTTTGCTTATGTAGTCTCCTGCTGTCTGTTTAGCTTATATGATTTTATGATGAAATTTAGATGGATCCCTCTTATCGGCCAAGTTTAGTGCAAAAGGATAGTTTGGGGTCTGGTGTTCTTCCATTTGCTGGTTCAGACTTGGTCTTGAGCCCATCCCAATGGAGTAGTCATGTAGTGGGTATGAGTTGCTTATTATTCTTGTTATTAGCATTTGTATTTTTTCAATTGGCTTTGTTAACATTTCCTTTTATGATTGATATTATGAACTTTGCATATGTCATCATGAAATCACTATCTTGTTGCATTTTATTCAGGTAAAATTAGCTCATGGATAGATTTGGATTCAGAGGATGAAACCTTTAGGATAGATTCTGAAACCACTCTTAAACAAGAAATAGCCTGGGCTTCTCATCTCTCTTTACAGGTTTGCTTTGGTATAACCAGGTTGAAGAAATTTCAAATTTGTATTGCTTTGCTCGGTGTTTTTTCCTTAGTGTTATCAGTAGTTTTAACCCCTGTTAATTGGTTGAGTTTCTTTTTTTTTTTGTTTGTGTAGTAGAAATGTGTAATCTTTATTGTCATTTGCATCTTTCTTTTGCAACTTTAATTAACTTATCTAGGATTTTATTATCATTCCTCTAGGTTGCTTGAATACAGTTATGGTTCTTGTACCTGTATGAGAACGGATATGGACGATGGCAAATTATTTAAAATTAGGAAATGTGTGTGTGTGTGATTGTGAGTGCCTCCTTGGGTATATTTCATTCAAATAATAATATTCCTTTCAAATTTATATTTAATGAGAAAAGGATTCCTTACTTTTCATGAGTAGATTAATTACAAGGTTATCTTGGCTTTATCAAAATGTGTGGGGTTTTCAAGTTGTACATGCTTGATTTCCCTTAAGCAAGGTCTCAGGTTTGATCCTTGTGTATGAAAGAATTCCCGCTAGAAGAGGAAGCCCCTCTATGGTGAGAATGCTCCTGACTTGAGCAGGATTTTCTCCTTTTGAGGATACTCATGGTCTAGACCAAAAACTAAGCGGAAAACCTGTTGAAAAATAACAAGTGATTTATATTCATTTTCCATAATGAGAATGCCCAGTATATGTCCTGCAAATCTGTCCTGGACACTTGACATGCTGACTACCTGCAATTTGAACAATAATAGGTGTTATTTTGAAATTTTAGTCAAGTTGGTTAATGTGTCAAGGCATGCTAATTGGTTTTATTTATGATGTTATTTCATTCTTGTATCTGTTTGTAAACTATGCAACCTGGCATGATATCAGACTTTGACATATTGTGACCATCAAAAAATGCTTTCTTGACTAAGTTGTATATGTTTTTTTACCTTAAATCCTTTTACTTTGCTATAGGCCTGCCTGCTTCCTGCCCCCAAGGGAACTTCTTGTGCTAATTATGCTAGATGTGTGAATCAAATCTTGCAGGGCTTAAATAATGTGCAGGTGCATTTCTATGTTTAAGTTTTATATCTGGTTCATTTGTCTTCATGAATGTCATTCCTCCAATCTTATATATATATATATATATATATATATATATATATATATTTATTTATTTATTTATTTATTTTTTGTAAATTTGTAATACAGTTGTGGCTCAGGATTCCGTTAGTGAAGCCTGATGAGGACTCTATGGATGCTAAGTCCATTACTTTGGTGAGTAAATTTGTTACAATCGTGCTGTGGTGGTCTTGTTTTCAAATTTGCTTAGCTAGGTTGGGTCATGTAGTAGGGTTTACACATTGATGAACCTGTCCTATATTTCTTTCTTAAATATGAGCTTCTTAGTTTTCAAACTCAAGTCAACTCAAACCTCCTACACGTTTTTTATCCTAGGACAGAAAAATGATTTTAACTCACATGTAACTGCTGCAGAATTGATAAACTCTCAGTTCTTCTAGTAAGTTGATGAGCCTGGGTTTACACGTGATTTTGGCTTTAAAATGGAAGTTGTTGGTTGATTTTGTTGGGTGCTTGGATTTGATAGACAATGTTCTGTAATATGTATTATGTTACAACTTTAACTTTATGTTATCATTAATTCTTTTTCCTGTATTATGTAACTTATGATTTTTCTTTACCTTGCTACTTATCTTTGCTTCAAAATTGGAGGACTGTGATATATTTTTTAGTACTATTCTTGAAATATGTGAACTTGTAAAAATAAATGATTTGAGTTTAATAGGGTTCAGTGTATTTTTATTGAAACCTGAGTTTTTAGCACTATATCTAATTAATTTTTATTCTTAATGAAATGACAGTTACTACTGTAAAGTCAAAGCTGCCAATTGTGAGCTTATGTTCTGACATGTTACTGAATATTGATATGGTGTTTGCTGCAATATTTCTTTTATGTATTTTAATTTCAATTTTATTCTCTGGTGATCAAATTACTTGGGTTTGGACAGTTTGTTCATGAAATTATAGGCTTGTTATGGACAAAAAATTTAGGATGCTTAATGTTTTTGTTACAAGACTTTGTGATCCTGATTTTTAGGTTGACTCCTGGGAAACATGGAATTCATTTCGTTTGCTATGTGAGCATCATAGTCAGCTGTCTGTTGCACTTGATATTCTGTGAGTAGTTTACACTTTAGTCCATTGTACTTTGATTTTGGATTTTGTTGCATGGCTTTTATTCCTAAATTTGTTTTAAAATTGTGTCAGTGTATTATTGATTTCTTTAATCATGATGATTTTTCTTGGCAACTTGTTCATCAGGAGTACTCTTCCTTCTGCAAATTCACTAGGACGTTGGTTTGGGGAGCCTGTTAGAGCAGCTATAATTAGTACTGATGTACGTGACCTTTTTCTGGTTATAATGCATTTTCCAAATGTAGTATCGTGGTGCTGATTCTTGTCTAAAGGCATAATGTTTTTTTTATTGGAACCTTGCCAGTGCTTTTTAACTAATGCTCGTGGTTGGCCATGCCTCTCCAAGCGCCACCAGAGGTTAATTACTGGTTTCTTTAACCATTCTATTCAGGTAAGCCATCAAGTTCTTTGAATCTTGCATTCTTGTAAATATAGCTGATATTATGTGAGGACGGGAAGTAAGTTGAGCAGTTATTTCTACTGTGGACAACTTTGCTTTCTCACAATTCATGCAAGTCTTTTATCATTTCTCTGGATACTACATTGGTGCTTGGTTGATCATAAGAAATGGAATTTGAGTTCATGCATTTGTTTTCCTTTGAAAGGTATTGATTTAATTTGAAACATCTGTGTAGATCATTATATCTGGAAATTTAGTTCATCCGAAGGCAATTGTGGAAGCTAATGCTTTTCATGATAATTTAGTTTCTGGTAAGTTCCTTTTCTTGGTTCATAGATTTGGTTTCTTGATTTTGAGGATCATCCTTTTAGTGGTTAGAATATCTTGTTCTTCCTTTTAAACTAGTTTTTTTTTTTTAATAAATTTTCCTAATTATTATGAGCCACTTTTATTTAGCCTGGTTTTAGGTTACAAGAATTATCAATATTGCTGATGTAATATATATTTAGGAATCTCCTCTTCCATTCTGTGTGCCCATATGCAAATGCTTGTGCCTTTTTGGATGCAATGTAATTGTTGTGATACGATGTTCCACTTTTCTTCAACTATGTTGCCCTGGCCAATCTCCTGTTTATAGTTGATAGGAGTGGAAATGTGGGCTTGGATGGTGAGGAAAGGTCTAAGGTGTGGAGAGTGTATGTACGGAGAACCAGGGTAAGGGGAGAGAAGATGAGGTGACAAGAGTTGTAACAGAATTGCCAAACAGTGAAGAATGAGATTTGGTGTATATAGGGGAGCTGTGCTCTGTGACAGTGGGATTGTATTTACTTGTGTATTGTTTTTTTTACAGCAAATACTATAATCATTCCCAAATCTTTTCAGTCATTTCTGTAGTCTATTTTCTGGTTTCTAACAAAAGTGAGCCTTTTTTCCACTTCAGATTCACACAGTCATCCTTTGCGGCCCTATCTAGACTATGTGGGATATCTATACCAGAAAATGGATCCACTTCCCGAGCAAGAGCGTTTTGAGGTATCTAGCTTGACATTTGTTGAATACATAGGTATTGCATTATCTGCTATTATATTTCTCTTGACCCTCTCAGCATCTTATGCCAGCTTGGTTACAGGGATTTTTTACAGTCTCCCTTGCAAGTAAGCATTCTTTTTCATGCTTCTTTCTACATAGTTATTGGCTTCTATGTTACTGCCTGATTATTGTGCACTTTGAGATAAAAAATTGTGAAACTTTCATAAAATTTCATGCAGCCACTTATGGATAATTTAGAGGCTCAGACTTACGAAACTTTTGAGAAGGATGCAGTAAAATACATTCAGGTATGGCAATACATGCATGATATTCTCCACGTATTATTTTATAAATATCTTTTCTCTCTGGCACCCATGGAAACGTCATCTTAAATCCTATTTCTGTTAATGAAACTGTTGTATTAGATAGTTGTGAATAAGTACATCCACTGCATGGGATTCTTGAGCAATTGCATTGCCTACTGTACTGATTATTGATTAAAGATTGAAGTTCAGCAGTTAGAGCACTTCTGTCAATGAGACTAGCATTTTGATTGGTGATATCAAAGCTGGCCAGCTTGGGCTAGCCTGATTTTGGAAATGGGCTGAAATACTTAGCCTGTCATGCCATTTTTAAAATTAAAAAATATGAAAAAATAGAAAAAATATCTCAATAAAATTCATAAAATTATTTTAACTTAAAATTTAAGATAAATTGTAAATGCAACAAACCATTATTGAACCATAACTTTAAATGTTCTAGTTATTCAATATTTAAATCATAATACTTAAACGGTTCATATTCACTACTAAAATCATAAAGTTTGAAACTAGTAAAACACATACTTAATGATTAAAATCACTAATTCAATGTTACAAAATTATAATCTTAGAACTCCAAAGTTACAATAACATTAAAACTCTGAAATCAAGAAGTGTTGTGTACAACCACAAGTCAAAATAAATCACAAGTTACAATGATTTAAAATCTTAAATCAAAAAGCATAATCCACAAGTCAAAGCAAAGTCATAAGTCACTAGAACTTCAAAGTCTTTATTATGGCACAGTCTACAAATCAAAGTTCAAAGATAAGTATATTAATTATCATCTTTTAAATTAAGAATGTTTGAATTTAATGCTGCATTGAAAGAACACAACTGCACTTTTCAATTGTCATCCTCATCAATAACATCATCATAGTTTATATCCACAATTGCATATCACTATTTGAGAAAATGACCTTAGTACTTGCTGTCTTTGTTTTGTTTGTTCTGAGCCTTTGGCATGGGGTAACTTGTTTTGGTTTCTTAGTTGTGTACTTGTAATTTAATCATTAGCTTTCCTTTTGACAGTACCAAAGAGCAGTTAGTAAAGCACTGCTGGACAGGGTTTCTGATGAAGAGGCATCTGCTAAAACCATTGTGGGATTCTTTTCTCATGTTTTCTCTTCATGCAGCTTAATTTTTTAATTGCTATTTTTAGGTGCATGATAAAATGCATCACTTTGAATTTTGTGCATCATGGCAAAATGTTATTTAATTTTATTCCTATGGTTAGGTATTGATGGTTGTTGGGGCAGGACGTGGGCCTCTTGTGCGGGCATCATTACAGGTGTGATTTTGTACCGTTTATTGATGAAATTTGATGTTGTTTAATGTAAATCATATTCTGTCGAGTGTGGATTTTCTTATATACTTTTCTTTGAGCTGTTTTCATATGTAGGCTGCTGAAGAAACTGGACGGAAGCTAAAAGTTTATGCTGTTGAAAAAAATCCAAATGCAGTTGTTACCCTACATGTGAGTTCTGGTTGTGTCAACATTAACAGAGATTTCCTTTTGAGCCAATATAATGTTAACTGTATATTACAGAAGCTGATGAATTCAAATACATGTCCTTAACTTCATTATTTGATTTGGTAAATTATTTTTTTGTGTCTAATCTATTTGTAGCTCACTTTGTTTTGTTTTGATAAATGAGTGACTAAGTATGATGGTTTGTTACCTAGTGTATTTAGTCAGAAAGAAACTTTTATCTTCTTGGTGTTTGTAGGGCACTTCATTATTTGATTAGCTCTTGTGCTTGATGATTGGTGGGGGTCACGCTCTTAAATTTATTTAAAAGTCCTAAGTTGTCTTTATGTTGTTTCTGTGCATATATAATTTAATTTGCTTTTCTCTTCTGATTCTTTAGATAATCTTCTTCAGGAAATATAACTGAAATTTTGAATGGAGGTTCCTATCTTTTGAATCTTACTACTATATTTTCATTGTTCTATACATAACAATTTGTTGGAACAGGCTTTAGTCAAGTTAGAGGGATGGGAGAATACTGTTACCATAGTCTCAAGTGACATGCGACATTGGGATGCCCCTGAAAAAGCTGACATATTGGTAGATGCTCACTTAGTCAATCATTTGACTTTTATTGTTTACTTTAAGTCTGATTATTGTTATTTTTGAATTTAGGTTAGTGAACTGTTAGGTTCTTTTGGCGACAATGAACTGTCTCCCGAATGCCTTGATGGAGCCCAGAGGTTTTTAAAGCAAGATGGAATTTCAATACCTTCTTTGTATGTAAATTGCCTTTTCTCCATATCTTTCCGATTTATCTGTGGGTTTAATTTTGTTATTTAATTTTAATGAATGTTAAGCCCCTTACTTGATTCGGCTACTGTGTTTTAATTAGTTTGTTGATGGTCATAAGTTAACACAAACTCCAGAGTCATGTAAGATAGCATCAGCAACATAAAATTCTGATGTGTTGATTTACAGTCGCTAAATTTCACTTGTTTTTTATTGGTAGAAATTGGTTGTTTCTATGGATCTTTTAATGATTAATTAATTTTTGTATTTTAAATTTTTCTTCTTATGTTTAGTTATTCTAGTAATCATTGTGTATTACTGACTTTAGGTACACAAGTTTCCTCCAACCAGTCACAGCTTCAAAGTTATATAATGATGTATATATCTTATAGTTCCCAATCCTGATGTTAAATTTCACATTTATAAATGAGTACTTGGTATTATTTTCTTGTGGTTGCATTTCAGGTTAAGGCACATAAAGACCTTGTACATTTTGAAACTGCTTATGTTGTGAAAATACACAATGTAGCCCGACTTGCACCGTCTCAACCTGTGAGTTTCATCACATGCAGTTTAATTTTTTATTTTTTAATTCAATCTATCCCCCTTCTGATCTCTTCATTTTGTAAGATTTTGCTTTTAGTCCCTTAAATTTTTTCTTATCTTAGTGTTACTCTAGATTTTTTAATGTCAACACTTTTGGTTCCTATTAATTATGTGGCTAGCTAAGAGATTATTCCTGGCCAATTTTTTGTGCCACTAGTTGATTATTTGTTGTGACACATCGGTGAATGGGACCAAAAGTGCCAAGTTAAAAAAATATCAGGGGCTAAAAACAGAAGAAAAATTGAGGGATAGGGACTAGAAACATAATTAGGACATCTTATATTAATTAGTTTCTGCTTGTTTTGTTGATTTGATATTCAGGTTTTTACATTTACTCATCCAAAACATTCCGATAGTGAAAGTAATCAGCGTTATAAAAAGTTGAATTTTGCGATACCTAATGACACTGGATCAGCAATGGTACATGGTATGTGGTGTGTTTCTATTGCAAATTTTCAGAATCCATTTTTGAGTATTTTTGTTGATTATGTTGGTCTGTTTTGTAAGTAATAAAATAAAGCCACATGTTGGCAGGGAACAATTAAAGTTATGAAATGGTTGAGTTATTTGAAAAAGCCTTGGAAACTACGAAGCACACCAGCACAGGGACTTCTAAATGATAGCTGTGCCGTGTCATAACCATGTTGGACATATATTCTTGTCACACTGCACAACACATCAAACACTTATAGATGCATTTTTCTATTTTTATGCTAATAATGATTGAAATATGATACTATTTTTTATCATTTTTGTCTATAACAATTATACTTACTTTTGAAGCATGAATTATCTTTTGTGATTTAAATTTTTTATTTTATCTTAATTTTAAACTAATTTTATACATTGTATTATACCTGTGTTATGTCCTATAACTTTCAAATTACTTGTATCCTCATGTTCATGTCGTGCCAGGTTCTTGCATGAATTTGTTGTTGGTTCATTACAGTAGCATGGATTTTCAACTATGGATAGAGAGAGAGATTGTATAAATTTTTTCATTTAAGGGAGAAACTCAAGTAAGGTCGAAAGAAAATATGCAAGTATGAGGGTGGACAGGGAATCTTGCTGAGCTAAAAAAACAGAAAAAAGAAAGATAAAAGAACAAGAGAGATTTGTTGGGATAAAGCTGCCCAATTGCCCAACATATCTGTCATTAAAATCCTATTAAAAATGGCACAAGCTTTATTTTCTACCAAATAAACCTGAATCTGTAATCTCTGTTGGATAAAGTATTTTGCTAATTAAACCTCCTTAGATATTTGAGAGTTCCACTCTGTGTTGCATGGATATGGTACAGTACTGGTATTTGGTACAAATTTGGGTATGATGTGACAATTTAAAAAAAATATAGGTATGAGTATGCTAATATACTTTTTAAATAATATAAATGAGGTTTACTACATTTGTAGATTGTTGTGAAAAGATCTATAAGAAATTAAGTCAAGAAAAAATTTGCATCTCACCGGCAAGGATGAAAGGATTTGAATAAATAGAAATCAAACATTGGAGAATTGAGAGGAAGACGGAAAAAATCCCTAGATTTATCTGAGAAGTCATTTTTTTGGGGGGTATTTTGTTAGTACCTAAAACAGAAGTTATACCCTAAGGAGAAAATGCTCCACTAGGATCAATGGGCCAAATCTTTTGATTTGGGTGAGAAGACAGAAAAATGCAGTCCATTCTTTGAGTGAGACAAACTTCCTATTGCCTAGAAGCTTAGATGACAGCGTTGTAATCACACCCATTTGAATCTAAACCATGGTGCTGATTACTTGGTGAGAGTTAGGTTCTAAATTGATATTTATATTGCTGCCAGTACATTGTTAGAAGCATATTAAATACTCATCCTAGAGGATGAATTGAGAAGATAAAGGTGAGGCACTTAATATATTCCAAGTAGATGTATTTTGGTTGGGGTAGTTCAAAATGAAAATCAGTGACAAATAGATTTCTTCTTTGTGAAATTTTTTTTTCAATTTTACATGATAAGTGTGCTGATTTGGTATTTAGAATGTATTCACTAATTGTGAGTCGTTTCATTGTGGGAATGGAACTGATTTTGATAAACTTGGTATTTTTGGGATTGTTTAATAGACATCCTCTGCTATATACAGTTCGTGGGGCAGTCTTATTATGTAGTTTTAGGATGTTGGTATTGCTTGCTGATAACATTCCCCAAAGCTTTGTCTGTCTTTTTGAGACTGACCTTGTGCTCTCCATCTTAGGATTTGCTGGCTACTTTGATGCAACTCTTTACAAGGATGTTCATCTTGGAATTGAACCTTCAACAGCGACACCAAACATGTTCAGTTGGTACTGAGATTGATTTAAATGTTTTATTTTATTTTGGGATATGAAGTAATTTTATTGGAGTAGCAAAAGACATTACAACCACCTGGAGACCGCAGTAAATGGGCTAAACACATCAAGTAAATTTGACCTGGTTTTTATCCATTTGACATTTTTTTCTGTTGCATCGAACTGGAAATTATTTCTAGTAATTTGTTGTCATGTGGGTGGTGGTTTGTAATTGCTGTTTGAATGACTTGGTATTTGTTGTGATAGCACTGCATTTATTTTAGAATCAGAATCCATTTATGGCTTTTGTATATTATTTTGCAAGATGGTTATTGAAGGATTTTCCTAGATGGATATTAAGATGTTTTGCACATTGCATCAGATTTCACGAATTTTATTTATTTTTACACATTCTACCCTATAATAGGATGATGCCTGACAGTTAACAGTGTTTTATGCTGTTTGTCAGTGCTAATAAAATATCTTTTTAAAAGGAAAACAGAGCAGTTGTCTTGTATCTTTTTGCCCTGACCTGCTGTCTTTTGAAATGATAATATTAGTGAATTTGAACCCTTCCTTTTGGGCCTTAATCTGCAGGTTTGCAATATTTTTCCCATTAAGGACACCTATTTGTGTGGACCCTGGTTCTACACTTGAAGTACATTTCTGGCGCTGTTGTGGTCCTACAAAGGTTAATTTTATACCATTTGCTACCTTCAACATTTCATAATTTGTCTTCATCCATGATCTGTGTTTCCATTTAATATTGTTGATTCCTTTTCCTGATGTAATTTGAAACAGGTTTGGTACGAGTGGAGTGTTACATCTCCGTCATCGTCGCCAATTCACAACATTAATGGACGTTCATACTGGGTTGGTCTTTAGTGACTTGCATTTCCTGTAAAATTTCAGTCTTGCGACGAGTAGTTGAGTTTTGCCGCAACCAGAGTGAAAAGCAAAAATGCCTTTTGTTGATATTTCAAGATTCTGAGTACAGCTGAGCACAAAGTTTTGGAGCAAGCATCTTGGTGGGTCTTCATTTCAATTCATTTAGGAAATCTTGTTGTACAATAACATTGGCTCGTTTAAGACTTGATCCAAATCGTTTTAAATGGCCAAATCAATCCAAACAATTGAGCAAACAATAAATTTTTAGAAAATCGATTTGGTGTTTAAAACTAATTAAATCCCTGTACTAGTATTATTTTTCTAATTCTATCCTTAAATTTGCCATTATTTCTTTATCTTTTTTTTTCTCTTACATTACAGAACAAAGCACAAGTGAAATGCAAGTTTATATTGAAAAATGAAATATGGGAGTGTGGTCTGGCATCAATTTATACGGGAATGTAGGAAGATTTATATTCGGTTTCCTGAAATTTGTATTATATTGTAGGTGAATTCTTTCTTTAGGCTATTAGTTTTATTATTTACTTTTTCTTTTTTCCTTTACTGTTAGTGTCCTCCCCCTCTATAGTTGGTGACTTGTTTTCTCTCTTCTTAAAGTCTTGTGGTTAGCTGGCATCGTCGTCTTATAGCTGGCTCTGATTTGATGCCAAAACACAATTGCAGTGTCAACAGTCAACTTAATAACGTAAATAAAATGTGCAAGTTAGAGATAAGTTTGATTTTGATGACGAGGATTGAATAAATATATTTTTAGTTACATGAGAATAGCTCTGAAGTGTAACAAATTTGAAAAGAAAAAAGATAACTGATTTTCTATCTTAAATCATAATCTACTCCATAGAATATATGTATTTCATGATAACTAAGAAATATAATAACGTAAGTAAATTAATACAAAATAAAATGATTTTCCTTCATACATAAATCTCTATTTTTTTTTCTCAATTTACTTTCCGGTCGTTAATCCCCCGTCATTCATGACTTTAAATTATCTTTTAAAGATACGCCACATGCGAGCTCCAAAAGTTACAAGTTCACAAATACATCCCAAAATTTGCCTTTATCTTGGCATTGTTTGACAAAATGGCGCTCAACAGAATAGATGCACCAGGCACGTGAATTTACACGGCTGTACTGAACAAGTATTCAACTGATTTTTCTTTAGATATATACACCAACAAAAAGATGTTACAGAAAGTGAAGTTCTTAAACGACCTGGGATGAAACATTTGCTGTGAGAAGTGTTCCACGGAACCCTTCCTCAGTATGCTGCAGATCCATTTTATCATTGCAAAGCTCATCTGCAAAAGATGAATAAAATCCTTTTGACTTTATGGTCTTAAATTACTAAAAGATAAACATATTTGCATGTTTCCTATATCGCTTAATGCAATAACATAATAATGTGTCAAACCACATTGCCATGCCCATTATGGGACTATCAAATAGCTTACCGGCAATATCTCGATTTTCATGAATCTCTGAGTCCCTCACAATAATTTGATCTCCAGCAAATATGTTAACATCCGCAAGGGTAGCACATTCATTTTCAGCATCAATTGTCCTATCACCTTTATGCAGAATCTGGTTTTCCTTGACAACCTGGAGGACAACTATCATTGATAAGATTCATGAACAAATATCTAGGTATCATGATGCTGTGCTATCAGTTACAGCAATCGCTGATTATTATTGATGAGAAGGTAACACCTAGCTAACTAATGTTCTCCTATGACAATGGAAAAGTAACTGATTTGTCCCCCATCATCATCATTACTCCATCTTAAAATCCACTTCAATGAATGCTTATTTGAATGTAAAATCTAAAAAAGAAGTCACTTGGAATTTTTTTTTAAACAATTGGAACCAAGTGCTCATGGAATGTTCACCCACTAGTTCTTTGGAACAAAATATGGAACAACTGTGGGTTTCAAAAAATCTGGTCAGCCAGTTAACACTGCCAAATCAGCAGAATCAAAATCTTCATACATCAATAGGGTTCACACAATAAAAAGCTGACTATGCCCCACCACCACCTATGCCACCAGATGATCTTGCATACAGAAAAGAGAGAAGCTGAGTGGACATTTTGCAGAGTCAGTCTCACTCTAGACCAAATGGGCCAAACCAAAATTGGTCACAACAATAGGGTTCACAGAGTGGTATTAATGAACCCGCCCAATTCACTAGGGCAAGGGAGGAGGTAAAAGGAGGAAGATTTGTTTCAAGGGCTCACCTTTGGGGCACATGTGGGCCCACACTTTATCTTGGTACAAGAGGTTTTCAGGTCCAATAATTTGCAAAGATCTCATTTTTTGTTATAGCACCATGTTCAGCAAAGCTCAACATCCCACATCCCCTGTTTTTTGCGCCTAAGACAGAGCTTTGGAAGTACTATATCCATAATTCCAACCTTGAGAACAAGGTTAAAATTCAAGAGTGGTATTATTAGGAGTTAAGAGAGAAGAAAGGAAAAGTTAGTTATGGTATTTAGTTAGTTGAAGGGATTAGTTAGTTAGAGGGGATCTGAGGTAAATAAATACAATGAAGATGTAAGGGAAAGACATTTAGATCTGTTATCATATGTAAATTGAACTTTTCCTATTTGTGAAATGGAAACCCTTGGAGGAGAGATCTCTCATTTATTTTCTATTTTGTCCATTCATTTCAATAAGGATTTTCATTTCTTTCTCATTTCTATTCTTGGATTTATAAACACTTGGTCCCTATCTTTATGAAAATACATGTTTTCAGTCCCTACCATTAGTTTTATTCAGTTAAGTAGTGATGATGCAAATATATCAATGACTGGGCATAACTTCCACATCATCACCTGTCGAAACAAATCTATCATAAAGATAGATTTAGGAATAAAAAAACAGACCCCTTTAAATCTTATTGGAATTTTAATTTTCATTGCTAAAACTCAATCCTAAGTTGTATGTAACTTTATTTACATGGCAAAACCACACCACATAAGTTAGTCATTGTAGTTGTAGAGTCCAATGCCTTCCAAAATCCATGCTAGAATCTCATAACTTGCATTTAGATCCTAACATCCCACCACACTTTGCAGTCTCTACACTCATGTGAGCTAGTTATACACTAACCCCTAAACTAGTTTCGGACAAACACTACATTGTCAATGTGCTGCTCATTTGCAACCAAAATACATCGTGAAAGATTTTGGTACCATTGATAAGAACTTGGATTCAATCATACCACAAAAAGCTAACTGTTATAGCTGGAAATCTTAAGGCCTTATAAACCTCACACTAAAACATAACCTTGCAATTGATTATTAACAAATTTTATTATTATTATTATTATTATGAATGCAAGCATAAGTGTTAGGGTGACTCCATAGACATTGTTACCATGTGCTTATGCACAACGTTTAAACTGAATTGAAGTATATGCATACATAGACTAGGCTTACCCCAAAGGATTCCCATATCATCATTTTCAGCTGATATAGAGATGTTGAAGCAGAAACTTTCAGACTAATTGAACTCCCATTTTTCGTCTTTCGGGAGCGCTTGGAAACCCGTCGATCTGTTTCAATGATTCCCTTTGAAGCCTCCAAGATTGATCTAGGTACCTCCTTGCCACGAACAAGAATTACACATATGTCCTCATTGCAATAGTTAAGTTTCTGCATTAGCTCACAGCTTTCTCTTTCTCCAATGCAACTTTCACAAACCTGCAAATTGAGAGAAAAAAATTATAATTCAAATAAAGGTTATAATAAATATATTACCCGATAAAAGAAAGATAATATTCCACAAGAATATTTGATTGAACTAAACACAACAACAAAACACTATGAATCATGTCTATAATAGAACTGTGGGAAAGAATGTGGTAGAGGGGATAATAATAATAATAATTAGTCAGATGAATAAAATATAGATAATTTTTCAAACTTCAGTTACATTGTAAACTAAAGAATCTTTTGTCAGTCAAGTGAGATGAACAACTCCAGAATCCCCTTTTCAACATCTGGTGCATTCATTCACCAGCAGCTACACCACTGAAATTTTCTCAGACAAGAGTTATTGTGCTATGAATGTGCTGAAAGCAGCTATGGAGCTAGCACAGGAAAAATAGGAAAAACACATGGCTTTTAAAACTAAAGTCCAATGTATGTATGTTAAAATCTAACATAAGATTTATTTTCTAAAAGACTAAAGAGAAAGAAAAGTAGGATTGGGACCAGCAACATAGCATAGCCAACAGAGTAAGGCAAGGTTTTGAATTACCTCAGGACAAGTCCTAATTAAAATTTGTCCAGTCCCATTTTCATTATTCATTTTATCCCCCGTGCCTAACTGATCCTCACCCATTAGCATCTCTTCACCAGATCCAGTCAAAACTTTCTCAGAATTATTAACATGATCAATTGTTGCAGATATTCCTTCAGTCTCAATACCACCCCATTCTTCACAGAAGCATTTCCAATCATTCTCAGATATGATGGTTAAGCCACCTACCTAGAATTCACAGAATAAATGGAAGTAAGATTGAGTCAAGAAATTAAACATAAAAAGTAACTAAAATTTACCCCCATTGAAATGTGAAAAAAGGGGAAGAAACCAATTGAAAGAGCAAACAGATGACAATAATTAATAATTTATTTGTTTAAATTTATAAAGGGATTCGAAGCATACTAAAAAGGGTGAATTCAGTTTGATGGAAATAAGAAAATAACATAAAAGTTCATGAAAAAAGGTATAGAAAATAAAATATTTTTTTTTTTCTTAACTAACTTACAGAAGACTCTCTCTGAATTATAGCACCGCGTCTGAAAACCAATTCGGGTGGTCTTTCAACAAGTTGTGAGTGCTGGTACATAGCAAAAATACTAAATTCATCATAAAAGTTTCCCAAGGATTAAATTAGAAAGAATGAAAAGGTTATAAATGTGCAGACCCAATCACTCCATCAGTTGAAGAGTAATCTCTGCTACAAAAGTCCCTATCACATGTTGGATAGGATACCTTTTAGCAATAAGTCTTCTCATAACAGTTGCACACACAAATTTCACTCAAATGTAACCAAACACCAGTCAAAATCATATTAACTAGTAACTTAAGCAAACTAGATGCATACAGAGGAATAAGGTGCAAAATGATAGAATATCAAGGGGAAGTAACCATGTACCTTTTCACACATAAGTGAATTAATTACCCCATCTAAACTTTCAGG